CCAGCCGCCCCCGCCGCCCCAGCTCCAGAACCTCAACAACAACAACTTGGAGAGCGCCAACTGGCAGTCCTTCCATCCCACCCTGCGGGAGAGGTAAGGGCCAAGGACCGACGGACCCTCCCCGGCTGGGTGGGAGCAGGAGAGAGGTGTGCCCGGCCACCTGCGCCGAGACCAGGCGTGAGGGTTGGTCTGCCCCAGCGAGGGCAGCCTGGTACAGGATGGACCCCCCTGGGGTGATGCTGGTGGGGGGCTGGGGCACCTGGTGAGGGGCTGCCAGTGGCTAACGGGGCTTCTCCCCTCGCTTGCAGGAACGCGCTGATGTTCAATAACGAACTCATGGCTGACGTTCACTTCATCGTGGGCCCGCCAGGGGCATCCAAGAAAGTTCCTGCCCATAAGGTTCGTGCAGATAATTTTGGGCTTTTTAATACTGCTGGGTGTATCGCCTTCTCCCCCTGCCTTACAAGTATGTTCCATTTTTTTTTTAATTACAGCTCTCATCTAATCCCAAAAGTAATTCACATATGCTGCAATTAAATGAAAAAGTCTAAGGCAGTTTTCTTATGCCTCCACTGCAGCTTTTAACTTTCTCTAAATGTAGCTCTTATCGAAAGCCAGCACGCTCTGCTATTACTGATACGTATTACTGAGGCTTCTCTCTCTTTATTTTCCAGTATGTTTTGGCAGTTGGTAGCTCTGTCTTCTATGCTATGTTTTATGGTGATCTCGCAGAGGTCAAATCTGAAATCCATATACCAGATGTGGAACCTGCAGCCTTTCTAATCCTATTAAAGTAAGTGGCCACTACAAGTCTACTAATTACGTGGACAGAATCAAAGTAGCTTATAAAATATACATCTCCTAATTGGCATTGTGCAATATGCACTTATTACTGTTTACTTAATGTGCTGACAAATACTGAATGTCAGATGTACTGCCAGCCAAGATGACTACAGATCAATCTTTCATGGCCTCTATATGTATTTTTTTCCCATCCAGATATATGTATAGTGATGAAATAGACCTGGAAGCTGACACAGTGCTGGCTACACTGTATGCTGCCAAGAAGTACATCGTGCCGGCCCTAGCAAAGGCTTGCGTCAATTTTCTGGAGACCAGTTTAGAAGCGAAGAATGCTTGTGTCCTGCTGTCTCAGAGCAGGCTCTTTGAGGAGCCAGAGCTGACGCAGCGCTGCTGGGAAGTGATTGATGCTCAGGCAGAAATGGCACTGAAGTCAGAGGGCTTCTGTGAGATAGACCAACAAACACTAGAGATCATTGTAACCCGGGAGGCACTCAACACCAAGGAAGTGGTAGTTTTCGAGGCCGTTCTCAACTGGGCAGAGGCTGAATGCAAAAGGCAAGGGCTGCCGGTTACGCCGCGCAACAAGAGGAATGTATTGGGAAAAGCTTTGTACTTGGTGCGGATTCCTACCATGACTTTGGAAGAGTTTGCCAATGGAGCTGCCCAGTCCGACATCCTCACCCTCGAGGAAACTCACAACATATTCCTTTGGTATACAGCTGCAAATAAACCCAAACTAGAGTTTCCACTGACAAAAAGAAAAGGACTTGTGCCTCAGCGCTGCCATCGGTTTCAGTCATCTGCCTATCGCAGCAACCAGTGGAGGTACCGCGGGCGATGTGACAGTATTCAGTTTGCCGTAGACAAACGGATATTTATCGCGGGACTGGGACTGTACGGGTCAAGCTGTGGCAAAGCTGAATACTCTGTCAAAATCGAACTGAAGCGCTTAGGAGTTGTCCTTGCTCAAAACCTGACTAAGTTTACCTCCGACGGCTCGAGTAACACTTTCTCGGTGTGGTTTGAGCACCCCGTGCAGGTTGAGCAAGACACGTTTTACAATGTAAGTGCTATTCTTGATGGTAACGAACTCAGTTACTTTGGGCAAGAGGGAATGACTGAAGTGCAGTGCGGGAAAGTGACGTTCCAGTTCCAGTGCTCCTCGGACAGTACTAATGGAACCGGAGTACAAGGAGGACAAATACCTGAGCTTATTTTCTATGCATGATGCATTTTCACCTTGATTGTATTCCAATACTGCAATGATTCACATTAAGGGATTTTTCAGTTTTACTACGAACTCTGCAGCAGTATGGAATGTTACGCTACTTACCTATCTGCTACATCAGGCTATACAAATAAGTGAAGGAATGCTCTTAATCTTATTTTATTTATTCATAAGCTATTTGACTTAATTATTAAGACTGCAAAAAGCAGGAAAATGTTAAATTTTGCACGTACTGTGCATTTATTTTGTATATAGATAACTAACTTGCAGACTGCAGCTGACTTAAACAGAATGTTCTAAACTAGAGCAGTTTATGAATCTGTGAAATATAAAACATTTTTACTTGCCCTAAATCCTGTGTACTTGATCAATCTTACGGCTTGTGTCTGTGAATTCATCTGCAGGACAGTTAAGAGGGGTGATGATACTGTAGCCTGTCCCCTGTGTGCATCTACGCAAGGGCATTAGCTATTACTGCAAATATGAGAGTTCTTTTGCCTGGTAACTGAGACTATCCATCAGCACCTTTTATTTTCCTTCACAAAAAAAGGGAGCTGACATGTGGAAGCTCAGGGTTTTATCTGGCTTGCCTGAGCTGAAGGTAGAGAAAAGCATCAGTGTAATCAAAGTTGATCAAAATCATCCTGTGGTTATATTTGAAAGCTTCTAATGCCCATTCACATGCATCATCTGCATTAACCTCCAGCCTGCCCAGCTAGCAGCAACCCTGACACTTTCACCTGTCAACTACACCCCGCTTGAACAGCCAGAGTCAAGACATATGATGAAGATTAATACAGTGACAGGCTTCATCACAGATTTAACCCAGAGCTGCAATACTGACAGCCACTATCTAAACATACATCTCATCCTCACATTTAGGAGCAGACATTAGAGAAATACTTGCACTGTAGTCTTTAAGTTCACTCAAAATTGCTAGTTAGTAATAAGCCACCCTAAAAGCTGCTGGGTCTCTCCTTTCCTTTATTTTTTATTAAAAACATAGTCTCATCCACTATCAGCAGTCATTTTATAGCTAGTACTCTTATCTTAAAGGGTGATGAAAGTAGGTGTTTTTCCCAAGCGCCTGACAATCTTCACAGATGAGCCAATGAGGAATACTTACTGTTTTTTATAAACCTCTCTTCTCATAATGACCTTGGAAAGAATACTCAAACAGCAGTCTAAACCACAATTTTTTTTTTCCCCATGTGTAACAAGTACCTCTACGTTTAATTTAGAAAGGTTTTTGGTTTGCCTTTTCCTAAGTTGCATTAATTTTCACCTCGAAACTAAGCTGCAGTGCAAATTCTGCCTGTTCTCTCTCTAACAACAAAGTAAGGAAAAATAAGGTAACTGAATTACTGAAAACAAGTTCACACTAGACCTCAGGCTCTGATACCAAGGTGAGCACATGGCCGATAGCTGCGCTGCCGCAGACTCTGGGTGCCCTTATGGCCACGCTCCACCTGTGAGCGGCTGATTCTGCTGCTGCAGAGGCTGCAGTTGCGTGTCCAGCCAAGAACACCCGACCGGGTGCGAGGGGGTTGTTCTAGAACACAAACGCATCTGGTTCTCAGTACAGAAGAAGAAGTGTGGGTAAAGAACAGAAGAAAATTCCTCCACGGAGCTGGGTAACAAGACCTCCGTATAAATGCACTCTTTAAACTCGAACTCTCATGAATTCCATTGTCTTATTTTACACTTTTGACAGGTTAAAACCCACCTTCCCATCTCTGATACGATTTCAGTGATGACTTACTAATTAACAAGTTATTCACATGCTTGGAAAAAGTTGCTTCTCATTTTCCATCAAGCCACTTCTATTTCAAGCACTGAACACCTCAGCTACAGGTGATGGACAGATAGTAAATTTGGCAAATACTTACCAAACGTTGCATCTCTGTGGAATTGTGCAAGCTTGTAGACACTCACAGATTTGTTATACATCAGCCCATTGTCTTAGTTATAGCCTCAATTACTCTCAGAAAAAGCAACAAAATTATTTGCAAAAGAAAATGGCATCGAGCTCTCAAAAAACTCTTACATAAAGGAGAACAGACTCTCAACAGTCATCAGTAGTCTTCTACCTGGATTTGTTCCAACTGAAGTTACCACTTTGGTATTTAGCACACAATACTATTTATAATACACACATAGGTATATATTCTTATCAAGTACCATGCAGAAAATACAAATACTCAAAGGTCAACTCATAAAAAAATACCTATGGCTGGAGCATTTATGCAGAGTTCTCTGGCCAACAGAAGGAAAGTTTTTCCCAGCACATAGACATTCACCTATTAAAAGACAAAAAACCCACATTATTTAAATCTTAAACCACAAATGTTTTTAATAGAATATTTAATTGGAAAGAAAAAAACCCCACAACTTCTAAAATCTTAAACAACCTGCTTTAAAAAACTTCAATTGAAGTTACACAAGCAATATTCATAGTTATAGAATAATACTTGGTGCTTGTCAAAAGCTGCACAAATTAGCATTGTAAATCAAAGCACAAGTTTACACAGAAAAAAATTTAACAAGTTGTTCATGGTGCTCTTCAACAGGCTGTGTTACTCCATAGTACTTGGACAATTTTTCAGTTGTCACGTAACATCTTAAAGCATTAAGTAGACTTTAATGTAAGATCAGTATATATAAAATGTCATTTATCATGTAATGTAACAAAACCTGAGCAAATACTCACAAGTTCGTACAAATTTCAGCTCTGCATGATCCTGTGAAATGGGATAATTAACTATTACACAAGCACACACCAAACTTTTCCACCACAGCAAGGAGTGGTGCTATACGCCCCAAGGCTTATTTGTCATTTCTTACTGTTTGGACATTGCCCCAGATCACTCTACATTTGAAAAAAAAAAAAAAAAAAGAAGAAAAAAAAAGAAATAGAGAATCTAAATTCAGAAAAACCCTAAACTACACCAAACCTGCTAAGGAGACAGGGACACAGCCCTGCTCCCCTCCCTTCCTTCACTGCTGCACTCAGGAGGATGTAAACTGAGGGGAGGAGTTACTCTTCCTGCTCTGATTTGCAATTTATAGCATAGGCAACTACATTTGTATTTTAAAAGTCTGAGGAAGTTTTCTTTCACTATCTTAAGATGTGTTTTTGTGGTCAGCAAGAAAGGCAGGATTTACTTCGGTTCCCAATCAGCCCCAAACACTCCCACAAAGCTCCATGAACACTCTGCTCCCCTAAGGTGTATGTAAAGGTCAAAGTTAGTATAAAAATCTCCATCCTCCTACACTCCCAAATAGATTTTTTTTTTTTAAAGGATAGTATATTCTCTATTGCTTTTATGTTACAAAACTCCTCCCTTTCCTATGCCAGCATAGTGAAGGTGTTTACTAAGCAGTCAATTACATGACTGAATTGTTGATCATGGCAATAAGCCTATGGAAATAAAAATATCCTGTTACTAAGTATATTCTCTTTCAGTTTCACAGAAGAGCGTTACCAACGTGAGTTTAAAAGCAAGCTTTCTTCCCAGGTGTATAGGTGCTTCTACCAAGGTAGCAAAAATAACTCTCTATATACACATATATTTAAACAACAAAAAATACTGACACATTTTCACCTAGGACTTTGAAATTTTTCTTTATGTGAAAATGTTCTAAATACGAATTTGTCTCAAACAAACAAAAAAAAGAGAACTTCAAAGAAATCCTTAGAAAGATCACATATCCTAAAAGCAACTGCGCAATCAAGCGTACATGATATGATGGTAATTCATTCCATGTTCAGTGGGAATTACTGAATAACTTCCACGCTGTGTCTGACCAGTGCTTGGACTGGCCTAGAAGATACAAAAGTACAGTCTTCAATTTTACTGTCCTATTTTTCCTGAAATACCAGACAACATAGAAATAGTATGCTATGGGAAGGAAGTGAACAAAAGATACACTTTGAGTAACAAGTGTGTTTCTTAGGAAACAAGTCACTGAATTTTACACAGAAAAACAAACACCTAATGCATCTGGCGATTCATACAGGAGTTTGAGAGCGTGTGACTTGCCTGAGCCGCAGAGATGGAACAGACATTACGACAGCAAAATATCTGGAGTGTGTCAGTTGGCTCTAGATGCTCACGGGGAGCTTGGAACAGCTTGTTTTGTCCTTTTGTCTAAAAAATACTCACATAAAAAGCGAGGGTTTGGCTGTATTTCAGCCTTCTAAGTTGGCCGACCAAGTCACTAATTCTTAAACCTCATCACTTAGATCTTGTTCCGCAAAGACAATTTCACTGCACAAATCAATAAAGTTACTTCAGTGAAGTCAGCTACATATGATGTGTCCATGAGCTTCACAGGCTCATGCAATTCGTTCATTTTAGTCAAGAAAAAAAATAATCCTCAAATTCAGACAAGTATTTCTCTTTCTGGCTTTTTTTTTTTTGTCACAACCACCAAATACTTGACGTTTGTCCCCATCAAACCATGTCATACGCTAAGAAAATCCTCACCAGCAAACCTTCCATGAATGCAGTCATCAAAGAACAAATCACTATGAAGAGGCATAAAGAAGCAGGGATTTTTAGTGAAGTTCTGACAATCAAAGTGGGTGACAAATTAAATCTAAAGCAAAGACGAATAATAAAATTGCTTGATGACTGTTGATCTTCATCTCCTTGGCCTAACTAAAAGTCTCTGGATCCATTTGAGAAGTAATGTACTTCCAGCTAACCTGCTTTTCCACCTCAACCACATCATCAGTGTTCTTCTTTTATGACCAACTTCAAGGTGTAGGCAGTATATTTACACAAAATAATAAATTCAAATAGAAATGGTACATCAGGGAATTTCTTTCTTTTGATCAAAAGTGCATTTCTTCGCAGTTTCTGGTTATTACCAGTTTAGAAAGAAAGCATAACACACTGGATTACATGCTCTATATTGTTTTCCTCATGAAGCTCATACGTTTTTAATGCCAGGGTAAAGTCAGCAAAAGAATCGGGAATATTTAATTGCTTTCAGTTTTCCTGGCAAATCAGTAGGAAAAGAGACTTCAGGGCCTCTCAAACAATGCACTTCTAATCTTTAAAAGTTACCAGATATTCCCAGGTTCCTGGGCATTTCTCACAAATGGGAGATGAAAAGTTGGCATAAAGCTCACTCGGAAAGCTGTAATGGCACTGAACTGCTGAAACATGCTATTTAAGAACTTCTGGTTTTAGCAGAAGGCCCTTTCACTAAAATTTTATGCCACTGTCACTAATTATTACTCACACCCACCCACCTTGTGACAGATGAGATATGATATATGTAACAGGCATATAGATAGAGTCTTTCTTTACTCTCATCATTTGTATGTTATCTTGTGCTCCAT